CAATGATATTTCCGTATTCGATATTCAGAATATATATTTCAGGTTTTAGTAATTCTACAACATATGACAGAATTAATGGAATTATTTCTTGACTACACCCGGTAACTTGAAGTAGAGATAACTAGATGACAGATGTGCGAAAGCTAATAAGACCACACATAAAGCACCAATTATTCAATGGCAAAGAACAAACCCGACGCAAGCGAATTGGCGGCAAAAGAAAAGAAAAAGTTAGTTTTATTCTGTTGAATCTAAAATTACATTTCTGGCATACAGCGAAATACAGCACTAAAAGGCAGAAAGCTCGAGGGAAAAAAACAAAATAAACTAACCTAAAACAGAACTGTGACAAATCGATAAAGAGCACTCAAAAACAAAAAAACAACAAAACAAAGCGTGTTACTAACACTAAACGATAGAAAAGCGAGTTGGCATGACCGCGAGAAAAAAATGGGTGGGTGAAAATAACCCGAACAGAAACGACTGGGCACGAACAGCGTGCGATGTAAACAGTGCATGTAAACAGAACGAAGCAAATGGGCTACAATAATCAAGCGCAGTGGAGAAATGAAACAAACGAACGAAGCTTATGCAAATGAAAGTATGCAAATGAATAATTAACAATTTTGAACTGCTTACAAAATACAACAATTATTCAATGGCAAAGAACGAATCCGACTCAAGCGAATTGGCGGCAAAAGAAAATAAAATGTTAGTTTTATTCTGTTGAATCTAAAATTACATTTCTGGCATACAGCGAAATACAGCACTAAAAGGCCAAAAAATGAAAGCCGCCAAAAGCGAATGTTCAAAGTGTCAGATCGACTTGGCCAGACTTGATAGCAGCGCGAATGCATGATGCCGTCCGGAGGCGACGACTGAATAAGGATTCCATGTAGAGCAGGTAAGCTTGTGAATGCCAGTCGCCTTGCGCTTTAATTGATTCAGGGTCTGCTCCTAACTGAAATGCGAAGGAGGCACCTCCACGACGAAAGCTGTGACCGGAGTAGCTGTTTGGGTCCAGCCCTGTGGAGCTGAGCAATGATCGCGGATGTCGAACGAAAGACTGGTAGGTCAAAGGATGCAGGCTGCCGGTAGATGACGGTGCAAGAAACAGGGGAGCTTCTGAAGGTGCTGGCAACATGTCCACCATCTGCTTGTATGCTGATACTGGGCAGAGGGCGGAGCCAAGGATAGCCAGGATGGGAATGTGCAGTACCCGTTCACCGAACTGTATGGTTTTGAAACATGTGATACGAATGATCAAACCTGTGGTGTCGTATCCGACGCTGCCCCGTGAGAGATGAATGCGGGCGTCAAAAGCTGTGACTGAAGGGGTCATCAGGTTGGACTTACGCAGGAACGAAAAAAAATGCGATGAGGAAAGCGGACCACAGCGTAACGTGCAGCGGGCGTGTAAAGTCCAAGAGATGATGAATTCGAAGAAGGATATCCAGTGTGATAGGCAACTTGCGGCAAGGCTGGTGCGCAGTTATCCGCTGTATTCCCCGGAGAACAAGACGCAGTTCGAATGAGTCGAGTGAAGGTGGGGTCTCAGTGACGAAAAGATGCAGCAGCCGAACACCGTTGAGGTAGTTGCGGATAGATGCTGTGCTTGAAAACGAGCGGGCGAGGAACTGTGTGTAGCGAACAATCGTTTGTGTTGTGGCCGGAACTGGCTGGATGCGAAAGAAACAGCAGAAAAGGAAGAATGCACGCCATTGAGTTGTAATGTTGCGCAATGAACTGGAAGCAAATGCTGAGTGGAGTGAGCGGGACGCCTGGTGGTCCAGAGCGGCGAGCGGAGCTTGACTACCTGCAGAAGCGAAAAGAAAATGCTACAAGTTACCAAAGATGAATAAACTGGAACGTTTCCTGAGGTACAACGGCTTCTGAGATGCCAAAGTTTGACTGTAACTCTTCCACAGACTCATAAATGCCAGATAAATGTGAACGGCTTGGCGCGTCAACGACGTTGCTCCGACCAGGGATATGTACAGCCCAGAGATTGAATTCGAACCGTGCTTGGAAGTATGCTATCTCCCGCAAACAGCTGAGTTCGAAATCTGAATGGGTACGATGAGAGTTGATCAATGCAACCGTTGTCGTGTTGTCAGAGATTATTTGCAAGCGAAGCCCGCGCCAAGTATGGGACCAAAGCTTGAGTGTGACCACGACTGCAAGCAATTCCAATGCATTGATAGACAAACCCATGTTGATCATGTGTTGTGGGAAAGGTGAGCGGAAGAACTGGATAACGGAGATGCCGCCGCAGCCTGAACGGCACACGTCTGTACACACGACGATGTCTGGCGGAGACCAAGGTTGGGTGTGTATGATAGAAACGCCGTTATAGTCCTGTAAAAACGTCTTCCATCATAAGAGGTCTTTGCGAAACTCTGCATCAATACGGGTGCGGGAATGTTTAGCAGTGAATGTGCGAAGCGTGGACAGCATGCGGAAAATAAACAAGCGACCCGGGCGAACGCAACTCGATACATAGGACAAGAGACCGATGAGACTTTGTAATTCTGTGCGGGAACAAGAGGAGCGATTGTCCCAGTTGGATAGTCTTCATGAATTTGAGTGAGTTTGGCGACGGGTACGGCAATGGCAAGTGCGCGCTATATTGATTAATGGTAACCCTTTTGGTCGCCATTATCAATTTTTGTCACCTTATATTTTTTAAATATTTTTTGGACAATTTTGATCAAGATCTGATTAAAAAATATGCCCAAATGAACAAAAATTAACAAAGAAGTTGGAATGCATAAAATGTGCAAAAAAATGTCTTCAAAATTTTAGCGGGAAAAATTAAGACATCAAAGGGGAAACCTTCAACCTTTCAACTCTCGGCCCATCAGGTTTTGGAATTAAGTAATTTGTTGAACCAGTGAACTTTAGTTGAATAAAAGGTTTTAGGTAGAGTCCTTGAAGTGAAGTAATTGACACGTTGCACAATAAAGAAAATTATCGATGATCGTGTTTGCTGAGATATTATGTAAGCAGTTTCATTATATGTATGATTATCGTCCAATTAAAGTGATGTTCCAAGCATTGTTACATATACACGTTACAACGCGTGTAGGTCATGTATTATTCGTCATATTCATTAGTAATTATTTAATAATTGAATGATAGATGGACGAATATTCAACAAGTAGTATGCATATTTAACTGAAGAAAATTTTGAGAAATGATGAGAACTTTTTACTATAGTAGGAATCAATGGTAAATGGCTCAAAATGATCATTTTCTTGGATGTTTGACTTGCGTTTTATACAAAAACTAATTTGTTGACCTCATAATTTTTATCTGCGTTTTGTGAACAACATCATAGAATAAAAGCATAGTGACGTCAGAGAAAGTTGATCTTTTGTTTTAATGGCAGCCATCTATCAGGGAACAATAATCTTTATGACACATCGTCATAATCATATACTTGACCATTCTAGAAGCTTGTATAATAATAGTTGGTGTAAATGGTAAACTGTAAAGGTTTCAAGATCTACCTTGACGTCATGAACGCATTACGACATTTTGTGCACAGTCAGCTGACAAGGCTGAGTCAGCTGTGTGTGTGTGTAAAGGAGGGAGGTACAAGTTACAGGAAATAAAAAAGGTATTTTACGTTTTTAAATGAAATAAAATAAAAGTTCCCTTTACAGTAAAAAACAGATTTTTACACTTTGCGGATAAGGGAAATTCCCAATTCCATTTTACATTTTTTTTTAAATATTTGATAATTTGTGTTTAAGAATCAAAATTGAAAATTGTGTACGAATTATTAAATTTAATGTGGAAAATGCTTTATACGTTTTCAAAAAATCAGATCTTCTTACAAATTACGGACGAAGGAAATAGCTGATTAAATTATGCACCATACCAATGTATACGAATATACGTTTTTTTCATTTATTAAATTATTACGAAAATAAAAACAATTGATTACAGCTTTACAAAAATACCCCTTGCCGACCCTCTGTAAGTACAATATGCCTCGTCAACCGACTGTGATTGCAGGAGTGCGAAGGGATACATTCGGAAACTTGAAGATCAAAATTATGCAGAATCCCAAGTGCACATTTTGTTATCAGAGATATAATAATAAACATAGTTGCTCATGTATCCTCAGCATGAAAACCAACAATCCCACGAACATCGCCACCTAGAGTCAACACGCAACGATAAAATAACCCAACAATCCATGTGTCACTAAATATCAGTTTTGTCACACAAACTATTTCCTGGTGTTGAACTATACTGCCCACCGGAATGTTTTATTGTGTTTTTTTCATGAAATCCATTTTTGTTTAGTCTTGATTCGGAGTGTGCAAATTTAGCGTGATGAAC